TTCACCCCGACCTGCTCCCAGTCTGGCCTTGTAGCTCAGCTGGAACAGCATCGGTAGTACAAATCCGAAGGTCGTGGGTTCGAATCCCAGAGCAAGGTCGGAAATTAATTTTTCCGAATTTTTTCCTAAGGGTCTTTCTCCCGGAATTGCCTCCTTCTAAGCACTATAACTTCCTTTCCTTTCTATATCTCCCCGTTGTGGGAGAGCCTACGTAGTACTCAGTTGATGTAATATATTCATAAAGATGTAATACAAAACACATAATACAATAGAACGAGAAACAATGGAATACAATACATTTTATGAATATATTACATCAACTGCGTGCTACGTAGGTCTCCCCGTTGTATCATAGTGCCATGCGGTCCTCATATTCATATCTTTATATTTGATTTTGAACCAATCAGAATGCACCTTTCGACAAGGGATTAACGATCGCAAAGTTTCTTGGATACACGTTCGCCTTTAACTATGTTTTCTAATGCTTCTAGTTGCTCCATTATTTTATGATAAATTTGTCCATCACCCACCTCCCACTGTAGTATTGTCGCATTTTCTTTAGATTCAGTTCTCAAGTTTATTACTGGGTGGAATACAAATGCTAGAAACACCATGACAACACAAACAGGTAACCATGGTAACGCAAACCTTGTTATGTAGTGCTATTTGACTTTTTCTCTTGTTTATGCTGCAGTGTGGTCTGCATTTTTACTGTTCTGTTTGTTGTGTGTGGTTTTGTTTTATTTTATTTTTCAATCAATCAGCAAACTCTGTACTTTATTTTGCATCTTATTCAGTTGTTTTCATTTTAACAGTTCTGTCGACAATTTTCAAGACGAAGTCACCATATGAACTYGYTGAAAGACCTGACATGAAAGAAACAATAGAAGCCTTGATACCATACACAGGTAAAACCTTGAGGAGATGWTSCTGCCTTTGTTTCTCAACCTACAAATGGTTAGATCGAAAYGTCTTCTCAGATAAGAAAGTTACACCAGAATTTCTATCCCCCCTGCACTTTTCCACACTGCACTGGGAGACGCGAAGAATTATTGAGGACGTGAAAATTCTTGGTCGTGACCATCTTCAGTGACTGACTCATACCAAGACTTAAATTCTGGAGTATWGTGTTTCCTTCTATTTCCATTGGTGCAAGCAGAATAATAATAAATATACGGTATTTATTTTCAGGGTTCGTTAAAATCCTCGAAAAGCCCTGAGATTTAAAATTTGTTTTGAATGGCATTTGGAAATGAAATTTTTGTGCTTTAAAACTACTTGAAAAGTCGTGAAATTATGTGATGAAAATGTAGCTCGAACACTGTATTTTGCAAAATTATGCGCAAAGATTTGATAGGTCTGTCGTGATCGCTTTTCAAGGAATGCGCACCTGCTATCGCAGCCTCAAATTGGAGATGCCCTAATTTTTTTGCTTGGAAATTGCTTTTTTTTGTTCTACACTGAGTTATAAGGCATTGTTGCAGACATTCCAAAGGCCTTTTCTGAGATGCAGTTTACGTTGCATTGTGGTCTAGATTCGGTACAAACATCTTTGTTCGTGCGTGCTRCCAAATATTTGTTTGTACTGAACCCCCCCAGACGACACTGCATCACGATTTTCCATTTTAGAAAAGCTCAGGGGCGTGTTTAATGCTTTTTTTTTGATTTTTTGTCTTGCTCTGACAACCTAACGACAAAAAATGCTTTCCCAACACAAAAAACATAAATTGACAGCTGTACTTTAACTTTTTTCCGCAGAAAGGCATTTGAAGAGAATAAATCGGCTTTTACAGGTACATTGTATGATATTTTCATTCCTTATTTTATACACAGACAATTGATATACTGTTTCTTTCTTTAGCAATCTGAATTCCTGGAATATACTTGGCAACGTATGAAGCTCACATCGCCGGCTGAAAGTGTTAGGTTAGATCCAATTAACACGACCATTCATTTTT